TCCCTGATTTCTCTTTTAGTAAGAACTTAAAGCTTTCGTGGGATTTCTGGACTTCTGGTATAAAGATGGTCTAAAGAGGTTGAACATTGTTGTTGACTTGCTGCTTTGCTCACTTTTCTGCTTATGCTGAAATCCTTAATCCATTTTTGCTTTTGTTCTTGATTTCCAGGTATGTTCATGAGCTCGAAGTGATAAAAATGGGCTTGTAATCTGCTGACTTGGAATTGGATTCACTATATTTATCTAGCTCAAAGTTTTCTATGCTATTGTTCATCATCATCTAGAATCTATAACTGCTTTAGTTCTTGCTTAAGTACTGTTGATACAGATGTTGGTATATTTGTATGGTTTAAACATTTAAGCTGATTTAGTTCATTCATAGGTGGTTTAACAATTTCTTATACATAGTAATTGTAATTATTTGGGACTTTGTCAAAGTTTGTTGAATATTCATTCATATGTTTGGAGTGTTAAGCATGATAGTATGTGTACATCAAATGTTAGTCCATGAATGAATCTCAGAAAACTGATCTCCTGCTAATTAATAGCAACAACATGCTTATTAGAACCATTGTATATGTAATAATATAGTTAATGAGTAGTTTCATAATCCAGGTTCATTAACAGTAACACAATGATTTAAAGATTTAGAATATGGTTGTTTAGTGTTGTGATTTTCAGAATTTGCATATTATGTTGTTGTGTGTGAATTATAGTTAGTTGGGCCTCATTAAGGCCTTAATGTTTGAAGTATTCTTGCCAAAGTTTAAGGTTTGGATCCGGCCCAAATGGGGCCGCCTGGATCGTGGCCAGGCTTGTTTGGCTTCCAGTATTTCCGTTTCTTTTTTTTTGGGCTCAATCTCGAGCCCAACCTTCATCAGCATGTAGTTTCCCAAAATAGCTTATTTTTTAATAGTGCAGAATTGGGCCTGGATCTGTTGGCCCACTTGAAATAGGTGACCGCCTGCCTGGCTTCACTTCTGGGCTCGATCTTGAGCCCAGTTTTCTTTCAAGTAGTTTTGGGGTTTAGGCTCAAGCTAGATCTTGCTTAAATAAAAAGGACTAACATCTTATTCTAGTTATTTACAAATCAGTAGTTGTACATTAAATTCCGGGTTTAGTTTTAAAAGATGAATATCCTAGTTTTGCTTTAGGCGCGCATTAAATATATCATCGTGAGTGTGTACACGTTCGCGTGACATGGTTACGATTTTAAAAATAAAATCGGAGTATGTGTTCGCGCAACTTTGACTAAACTTTCTTAATAATAATAAAGCGTTATTAATTGTGGACACGTTCGCGTGACATGATTTTTGACACGCCAAACAAATGGGTACACGTGCGCGTGACCTATTTTAAGATAATTTCTTAATTAAAAAGGCAAATGCACATAGGTTCTAAAATAAGCAATTAGACAATTTAATTAGCCAAGTATGATCAAAGCGACTGTGCTAAAACCACGGAACCCCGGAATGCCTAACACCTTCTCCCGGGTTAACAGAATTCTTTACCCGGATTTCTGTGTACGCAGACTGTAAATAGAGTCAAACTTCCTCGATTCGGGATTTTAAATCGATGACTTGGGACACCATAAAATTATACCAAGTGGCGACTCTGATTTCGAATAAATAATCTTGTTTTGATTGTCACTTAAATTGGAAAAACTCCCTTATAACCCTTCCTGGGGTAGAAAAAGGAGGTGTGACACCGTCTATTGTTTCTAACTCATATGCACCTTTTCCTTCAATACCTCGAATCTTGTAGGGTCCTTCCCAATTTGGGCTCAATTCGCATTGGCTGCTTTCGTTGATTGAAAAACCTTTTTGAGTATGAAGTACCCGATCTTGAAGTACCTAAGATGAGCTTTCCGATTGTAATATCGCTCAATAATTTGCTTCTGCACTGCCATCCTTATCAAGGTTGTTTCTCTCCTTTCTTCAAGCAAATAGAGATTTATTCGCATCTCTTCCTCATTTGACTCTTCGGTTGCTTGGGTGTATCTCGTACTTGGTTCACCTATTTCAACTGGAATTAAGGCTTCGGCACCATACACAAGTGAGAATGGAGTCTCTCTCGTACCTGTTTTTGCCGTTGTTCGGTAAGCCTATAAGACTTCTGGTAACACTTCTGGCCACTTACCTTTTGACTCCTCTAATCTTTTCTTCAAATTATTAATAATAACCTTGTTTATTGATTCAGCTTGTCTATTAGCCACAGGGTGATAAGGTGTCGATGTTATCCTCTTAATCTACCAACTCTGAAAGAATTCCATGATTTTTGCGCCTATGAATTGCGGGCAGTTATCACACACGATTTCTTTTGGTACTCCAAACAGGAATATGATGTTTCGCCAAATGAAGTCCCTGACTTCTTTTTCCCGCACCTATTTGAAGGCACTTGCTTCTACCCACTTGGTAAAATAATCGGTTAGTACTAGTAAAAATTGTACCTTTCCTTTGGCTTGGGGTAACGGACCCACGATATCCATCCCCCACTTCATACAAGGTCATGGCGCAATAACCGTATGTAATAACTCTGCTGGGCGATGCATATTGTTACCATACCTTTGGCATTTGTCACATTTGGCCACAAAGCTTTCTACCTCTTCTTCCATTTTTGGCCAATAATATCCTGCTCTAATTAGAGTTTTTACCAAGGATCTTCCTCCTGCGTGATTTCCACAGTGTCCTTCATGTACTTCTCTCATCACATACTCTGTTTGAGAAGGTCCGAGACACCTTGCTAAAGGTCCACCGAACATTTTTTGATATAAGTTGCCTCGATCCAAACAATAACGGGCAACTTTTCGTCGAAGGGCCTGAGCCTTTTTCTTATCTTCAGGTAGAATCCCGTACTGCAAAAAATTAACGATCTCATTTCTCCAATCCCACGTTAAATTATTGAAATTTACCTCGTTTTTATCTTGCTCAAGTGCCGAATGAAACAAATGTATTACAGAATCATTTTCTTCATTTGTCACTTCTGCAGCGGATGCAAGATTAGCCAACGCGTCTGCTTCGACATTTTCTTCCCTGGGTATTTGTACGATTTTCCAAGATTGGTATTGCCTGATCAAATCTCGTGCCTTTTCCAAAATATTGCCGCATCCTCGCCTCTCTAGCTATATAAGTCCCCTGCATTTGATTAACTACAAGCTGCGGGTCGCTTTTAATTATCACCTGCTCTATTCTGAGTTCTCGTGCCAGTTCTAGACCTGCAATTACAGCTTCATATTCTGCTTCATTGTTAGTGATGGGATGGCACTTTATGGCTTGCCTTATAGCTTCTCCCGAAGGTGGTAGAAGAATGCCTAAACCCGCTCCTTTAACATTCGAGGAACCATCAGTAAATAGGGTCCAAGTACCTGGATTAAACCCGTTAAATACCTGCAGTTCCTTTTCTGCTTCTGTTACCATCCCTGAGCTGAAGTCTGCTACGAAATCTGCCAAAACCTGTGATTTTATCGCAGTTCTAGGTTGATATGTGATATCATATTCATTTAGTTATATGGCCCACTTGGCTAATCTACCTGATAATTCTTGCTTATGCAATATATTTCTTAAGGGGTAAGCGGTCACTAGAGAGATAGGGTGACATTGAAATAAGGCCTTAATTTTCTAGATGCCATTATTAGTGCTAAAACAAGTTTTTCTAAATGAGGATATCGAGTTTCAACATCCAATAAGGACTTGCTAGCATAACAAATTGGAGATTGTTTACCTTTGTCTTCTCGAACTAACACTGCACTTACCGCCATTTCTGACACAACAAGGTAGATGAGTAGCCTTTCTCCATCCTTCGATTTAGCCAGCAATGGTGGGTTTGACAAGTATGTTTTTAGATTTTTGAGTGCTTGTTGGCATTCCTCAGTCCACTCAAACTGGCTTTGCTTTTTTAACACTGAAAAGAACTTAAAACTTTTCTCCGAAGATTTAGAAATAAACCTTCCCAATGCTGCTATCCTACCTGTCAACCTCCGCACCTCTTTTTTGCTCGTGAGTATATCCGATATTTCTTCAATGGCTTTAATCTGTGCTGGATTTACTTCAATTCCTCGGTTAGAAACAAAGAAACCTAAAAACTTACCTGAAGACATGCCAAATGCACACTTTTCGGGATTTAACTTCATATTGAATTTGCGAAGAATCTGAAATGTATCTGACAAATGTTGGATGTGATCCCCCGCCTATGTTGACTTGACTAGCATGTCATCAATATAGACTTCCATGGTTTTCCTTGATGTTCTTGAAACATTTTTATTACTAACCTTTGGTACGTGGCTCCAGCATTCTTTAGGCCAAAAGGCATGACTTTATAACAGTAAGTCCCCTGTCTGTAATAAAGGAAGTTTTTTCCTCATCTAAAGGATCCATTTTATTTGATTATATCCTGAGTAGGCATCTAAAAAACTTAACAATTCATGTCCTGCAATAGCATCAATTAGTTGATCTATATGCGGTAAAGGAAAAGAATCTTTAGGGCAAGCTTTATTCAAGTCAGTATAGTCTACACAAACTCGCCACTTACCATTCTTTTTGGGTACCACTACAGTATTAGCTAGCCAATTAGGATATTTTACCTCACGGATAGACCCGATTTCTAAAAGCTCCTGTACCTCATCCTGAATTACCTGGTTTTTGAAGGATCCTTGCTTCCTTTAATTCTGTTTGACAGGTGGATACGTTGGATCTTCATTCAGCTTATGGGTGATCACCTCCGGTGGTATACCTGTCATATCTGAATGCGACCAAGCAAAGCAATCCGCGTTTTAAAAATTCAATTAACTTACCTTTCATCTCTGGGCTCAAGTTACTTCCGACGTAAACTTTTCTGTCCGGCCAATGTATAAACAACACCACCGCTTCGAGTTCCTCAATTGTTGTTTTGATGTTTTCGTTCTCTTCTGGCTCTTGAACAGTATCAGGCCTTGAGTCTACATCCGTTTGTCCATCTTCAATTGAGGTTTGAGTTGTTAAACTCTCAACTGAATTCTGTAATTGCTATTTTTCATCTGCAACGTCATTTTGTATGCTTGAATCTGCCACTGAATTGATACTTTTAGAAACCTGTTGATCACCACGGATTTGCCTAATTCCCCATTGCAAAGGGAACTTAATAACTTGATGTAAAGTAGACGGAACAACATCTATCTCGTGAATCCAAGGTCTGCCGAGGATCATATTGTACGCCATGTTCATATCTATTACTTGATATTTCATATCTTTAACTACTCCTTCTGCGAATGCGGTGAGTATTATCTCCCCTTTTGTAACAATGCTTGAATTGTCAAATCCAGATAAGGTGCGTGCTTTGGGCACCAATTTGTCATCAGCTTGCATCTCGTTTACCACTCTTAAAACAATGATATTTACAGAGCTACCTGGATCAATCAAAACTCGTTTCACATTAGTATCATGTACAAATAAAGATATTACCAGTGCATCATTGTGCGGGATCAGCACGCCATCTGCATCATCAAATGTTATACTGTCTTCTTCCAAAACTTGGCGAACTCGCTTTTCGTAGGTGACTGTAATTTTTGACACCTTTTTTGCAATTGTATATGTCACACCATTGACCTCCTCCCCTCCGCTTATGACATTAACCGTTCGTTTTGGTGACGGAGGTTTTGGCGGCTCCTGTCTATTCTTCATATATGCTTGCTTACCCTTCTCACTAAACAAATCGGTTAAGTAACCTTGATTTAACAAGTGTTCTACTTCACCTTGTAATAATCTGCACTCTGTTGTTTTATGACCGTGATCATTATGAAAATCGCACCAGAAATTTGGGTTTCTTCTGTTGAGGTTCGATCTCATTTCTTTTGGCCACTGCACCTTATCTCTCAGGGTTCTTAAAACAGCTACTAACTCAGATGTGCTAACATTGAAACTGTAACCACCAATCTTTGCTTTTGATCTTCTGTCGCTGTCCCGTGTGTCTCGCTCCTTTCCAAACTTGGATGACGAACCCGCGTCTCTGTCCCTTGATCTGGAACCGTACCTCGGGTTCTCCTGTTTAGATCGTGAATCCCTTCCTGCTGGTCCCATGTAAGGCTCGTACCTTTTCTTACCGGACCTTTTTTCAGTTTCTGGTTGTCTCGAACTTATTCTTTCATCCCCCAATGACTGAGTGATAGTATCTTCCTCTATCCGCAGCTTCGTGCTATACTTGTTGTAAAATATCATTCCAAGTTATTGCAAGGAGTTCTCGTTAACTTTCTTTGAGTCTCCTTGTGGCTTCTGAGCTTTTTTCATTTAGGTTACTTGCAAATGCCATAGCCGCCCAATTATCAGGTACACGTGGTAACATCATCCTTTCACGCTGGAATCTATCTACGAATTCCCTCAGTAGCTCCGTATCTCATTGTTTTATTTTGAAGATGTCTTCCATCCTCATTTCGACTTTTTAGCTCCCGAGTGTGCTTTTATAAATGAATTTGCAAGATCAGCAAAAGAATCAATAGGATTTTCAGGTAAAAGAGAATACCATGTTAGTGCTCCCTTTGTGAGTGTTTCACCAAATTTTTTGACCAGCACTGATTCAATCTCTTGCTTGGTCAGGTCGTTGCCTTTTATGTCAGTCGTAAATGCAGTTACATGATCTCGTGGGTCAGTTGTCCCATCATACTTCGGGATATCGGGCATCTTAAACATTTTTGGAATCGGCAAGGGAGCGACACTTGGTTTCCAAGGTTTTTGAGAATATTTATCAATATCCACTCCTTTAATTACGGGTGGAACACCAGGTATCTGCTCTATGCGTTCATTCTGCTCATTGAGCTGCTTCTGCAAAGTTAGTACTAAACTTTGTAAATCAGAATTAATTGGGATACCTGCCCTTCCATCTCGAGATTCGCTGGGAGTTCCTCCACTGCCCGAATTGGCGAGTCTTGAGCGTGGATTCTCTATGGTTGCTGTGTTGTTTGGAGGCGGAGTTGGTGGTACAGTTGGTAATCCGCTAACGAAAGCTTGAATAGCGTTGTTCACGTGTTCTACAATTAGTTGCTTCAATGCATCATCAACAATTTGATCTTCCCCTTGGTTGTTATTCACATATGACGTTGATCTGTCAGGTGAGTTTTCTCGGGTGTGTCGAGGAGAATTTTTGGGTGAAGGGATTGGAGTGTCATTCTCTTATTGATTCTGTTGGTTCAACTGGTCTTGTTGGTTTTGTTGGTTTTGTTGGTTGTTGTCGTTAGCAGTCGACATGATTTCTTGATAGAAAAATGAATTTGGAAAGTGAAATGGTTATCAGATTCCCGGTAACGGAACCAAATTATTTAACCAAAAAATAGGGATTTCGGTCAAAGCCTATTTTTAGAAGTACTCGGGCTACTGATAATCAAGAAATTCAATATTCTCGCAATAAGAAAGGAAATTAGAGTGTGAAATAGCAAAGTAATCAATAGAAAGCAAAAGAAAGTAATTGTATTCCAATAATAATCAGAACGTGTTTGTACAAATGATATCTCTTTCCCTTTTATAGGAATCTATAAGTACAACGTCTTTCCCCTTTTATGACCGAATCATTATGAGCATTAATGATATTAATGAGACGTTATAATTGGTAATCGTAACTGTTCATGGAGATTCTGTAACGTTTGAGATCATTCATGCTCATTAATTGATGATTCATGAATCTTTCCTTTTTACTGTCTCGATTCATTCCGCCGGTACCTCTTCATGTAACTATTTAAACTTGATCGACCATATCTTCCCCTCTCGTGGGTGATTTGCTCGTATCTATTACGACTCATGCCACTTTTAATGCATCTCTCCAGCTGTTGCTTTCTCAATGATCCACGTGTCTTGTCATATCAGCTAGTCATACAAATCCACGTGTAATATTTATTTTTACCAATACATCTAGTATACGCCAGTCAGTAATACTAGACCCAAAAAAACACAAACATTCTACTATGCATTTGCCCTAACTACAAAATCGATTAACTAACATGTGACAGTTTCTTGCCTTCCTTGAACATCCTCATGTGCTGATCCTTGCCTTCATTTCATTCTTAATCTGACTACCACAAAACTCGATGGTTAAACAAATTTGTCTAAAGATCCTCCAATTCCTCCCTTGCCAGGTGTAATAGATCATAGCTCCAAGAATAGCTGCTTCAACTTCTTTTCGAAACTGTTTCCAATGCCTTCTCCTTATTCATTGTAATGTTTCAGATACATTCTTTGTAGGAATATGAATACCAGACAAAGTAACTAGATCAATTCTTAAGTTGGTAATCCATTGGCATTCTGCAAATAGCTGCAAGTGTGTCTCCAGAACATCCTGCCCACATAAATAGCATGCAGTATCTCCTGAGACATGGATATGCAACTTCATCAATCTCTCCTTACTCAGCAGTTTTTGTTGATTTGCTAACCATAACATAACACGCTGCCTTGGCAGCATAAGCCCACTCCAAATCAGCTCTGCTTCTCGGAACTTTGTACTCAATTCAGGCATAACAATGTAGCTACATGAAACAGAGTAAGCACCACTACTAGTCAGCTTATAAATGTTGCCCGTGTACCAATGTGCCATTTTTTCCTTTAGCTCATTCAACGTCTTCCAATACCAGCTACAATCCATCGGTGGATTGTGAGCCCATATGTCCATACAAGTCTTCATATTGTGTGTGTGTGTGTGTGTATATATATATATATATATATATATATATATATATATATATATATATATATATATATCATGTGCCCATTTGACCTATAACACATCCTTTTTTGTCAGCAATAGCCATAATAGCTTACCTATAGAAGCCACATTCCATTACTTACAGCCTTTGATATAAAGCCCACCAAAATTTCTTTGGTTGACAGACTTTTTCCCAAGCAACTAAAGACATTTTCCTATGATCTTTAGTGCTACCCCATAAATAGTCTGCAGTTCCTATCAATTGCTTTAGACACACTTTGAGGAAGTATAAAAATAGCTCCCCAAAAGTTATATACAGAAAAAAGTACAGCATTGATGACCTGCAATCTACCAGCATAGGAAAGTAACTTGGAGTATCCAGTGTTGATCCTCATCATGATCTTCTCCACTAACTGATGACATTCTACTTTGCTCCACTTCTTTGAAGATAGGGGGAGTCCAAGGTACCTCATAGGTACTGAGCCAAGGGAGAACCCAGTGGTATCCAAAATTTCATTCTTCAAATCCTCTTCTATCCCAGCTAAAAATATATGTTATTTGTCCATATTGGCCACTAAACCTGAGACAACACTAAAATGATTGATAGCTTCTATCATTTTGTGTATAGACTTTATGTGCCTTTACAGAACAACATTAAGTCATATGCAAAATAAGATGAGTTACCTTAGTGCTTTTACACATAGGATGATATTGAAAGTCAGGCTGGTCACCCATTTTCCTCAGTACTCTTGATAGATATTTCATAACCAACACAAAGAGAAGGGGAGACATGGGGTCTCCTTGACTGAGTCCTCACTTTCCTTCAAAATACCCATAGCCTTCTCCATTAACCTTAATAGTGAAAGAAGTTGATGTTACACATAGCATAATGAGCTTTATAAATGGTATAGGAAAGCCATATCCTCTGAGTATCTCTACTAAAAAATCCCAGCTAACCATATCATAAGACTTCTTAAGATCAATTTTCATTAGACACATAGGTATAGTCTTCCTATTATAATCTCAATAGATCATGGTATATTAGTACATTGTGTATGAGAGATCTCCCTTTAATGAATGCAGCTTGGTTGTCAACAACTAATACAGAAAGTGCTTCCTCGATTCTCTTACTGTTACTTTTGAGATGCATTTGTAGATAACATTACAGCATGATATTTGTCTAAATTGACTGGCTAGCTGAGAATTTTCCACCTTTGTAATCGGGGCAATAGTTGTTGAGTTGATCTGTGTTAGGAGTTGGCCATTGTCAAAAAATTCCAGAATTGCATTAGTCACCCTCTCTCCTATAATGGGCCATGATTCATTGTAGAACTCACTTCCATATCTATTTGATCCTGGACTCTTAGTTTCTTCAATGCTAAACATTGCTTCTTTGACTTTAGCAGCTGTGTATGGCCTAACCAGCTGCAGCTGTTGTGATGTAGTCAATGTATGTCCATTTTTTATAAAGCTCTGAAAAGCTGAGATTCTGTTAGTCCCTTCTGTCCCTAGTAACTCCTAGTAATACTCTACAAATACATCTGCTATCTCTAATTGATCTGTCACCATTCTACCAAGCTTATCTGTTAACTGAAGAACTACTTGTTGCAATTTCCTGTGTTGATCGCAGAGAAAAAATATCTATTGTTATCATCATCCAGTTTAAGCCATGTGACTTTACTTCTTTGTTGGAGGTGAACCTCAACAAGATAGGAGGACCTCTTGAACCTTTGAAAGGGATCCTTCTCTGCCTGTTGTATCCTTGTATCAAGAGGATTACTATGCATTTCTGCTTGTATCTTTGCAAGAGCTAACCTATCTTCATCTGCCTTAGCTACAATGTCACTAAAATGCCTTCTGCTGAAATTTTTGAATTTAGCCTTCAACATTTTCATCTTCTTCAGAACTTGAAACATATTATACCCCTGGATTGATTGCATCCAGCCTTCCTTCACTACCTCCAGGAAATCTGGATGTGAAGTGCACACATTAAAAAACTTAAAAGCAGGCTTGTTCTTCCTTTGTGTACTTTATGGAGTCAATTTTAAAGGGCAATGATCATCAATACTTTCTGTAGGAATTATGCTCGAAAACTAGCCATGCTAAATTGATGAAAACCCAGTCATTTCTTGACATAATCCTGCAATCCCCATGCCTATCATTTCAAGTGTATCGACTACCAATTATAGGGAATTCAAGTAGTCCACAATTTTTAATGCACCTATGAAAATCGGAGATCTCACCATAGTAACAGGTGTACCACCTATCCTATCCTCCAGATTTAAAAAATAGTTAAAATCTCCCACCATAATCCAATGATGTGTCATTCCATTAGCTACTCCTTCCAGATAACTCCATAAACTCCTCCTCTCCTCTTTAGTATTATGTGCATATA